AAGGAGGAGTTCAACCGGTTGAGGAGGTTCTCCAGGAAGCAGTTCACGCAGGCAGACTTGGTTCGTCAGTTCATGAATGGCCTAAAGTTGGAGCTGAGGAGCAGGTGTTCCCTTAGGAGGTATGACACCTTGGTGGAGCTTGTGGAGACAGCTGCCATCCAAGAGACCTCGCTTGAGGAGCTAAGGAGAGTCAGGCAGGGCTTGTCTCGTCCAAACCGTGCTCAGGAAGGGCCGAAAAGGACTTGGGACACTATGGCAGCTCCAGGGGTTGGACTGCCTATGTGCCAGAGGTGTGAAGGAGGCACCCAGGAAGGTGTGGCGCCCACAAATGTTTTGGCTGTGGTAGTGTTGGCCACCATGAGAAGGATTGCGCAGTCACAGGGACTAACCGGTGCTACCGTTGTGGGAAGAGTGGCCATCAGAGGAAGGATTGTCCGGGGAATGCGAATCCTCAGCAAGGAGTGGGAGCATTGCCAGGACCACCAGCTAAGAGGCAAGCTGTGGAACCCCGTGTTTTCGCCATCGGAGATCCCGAAAGACCAGCACCGATCGCTGGTTAGTAATGTTTTGTGAGATTCTATATTTTTGCTTGTGAATAGGAATGTAGAATGGAAATGCATGACTAGATATAAGTAATCATGTAGGATCGGTCTCAGTAGGGGGTGCGATTGCATATACACTGTTCGACACCGGTGCCACACATAGTTTTGTGAGCCCGAGGTTGACCCAGTGTTGGACCTTCTCCGGAAAGTTCACCCCCAGGTTGAAAGCAGTGGAAACTGCTGGAAGTGAGCAGGTGGAGACCATTGGAATCCATGAAGAGGTGCCTATCTTGTTGGAAGGAGCAGATTTTCCTTGGACTCTAGTGAAAATGAAGTTGGGCCACTATGATGTTATCCTTGGAATGGACTGGCTGAAGCATTATGAAGTTGTCCTGAATTGCCGGAAGTCGAAGGCCTATATTCTGCATCGAGGAGGTCGGGTTGCCTTTCAAGGAGTAAAGACCGACACAGGAGTGCCAGTCATTTCGATGATTCATGCCGAGAATCTTATAGAAGAAGGATGTGAAGCTTTCTTGGTGACAGTCTCTATGGTAGGAGAAGGAGCACCTAAGAGCCTTGAGGAGATATCAGTGGTAAATGAATACGCGGACGTATTCCAACCATTGACTGGACCTCCGCCAAGAAGAGGAGTTGACTTCACTATCGAATTAGAACCTGGAACAGCCCCTGTTTCGAAGGTTCCATACCGATTGGCACCAGCAGAGATGGCTGAGCTAAAGAAGCAGTTGGAGGACTTGACGGATAAAGGATTTATTCGGCCAAGCAGCTTGCCATGGGGAGCGCCCGTGCTATTTGTAAAGAAGAAAGATGGAAGCTTTCGACTTTGCATTGATTATAGAGGGCTGAATAAGGTGACCATCAAGAATAAGTATCCCTATCCAAGGATTGATGAGTTGTTGGACCAGTTATAAGGAGCTTCATGGTTCTCTAAGATTGATTTGGCGTCAGGCTATCACCAGATTCGGATAGCAGAGGAGGACATTAGTAAGACAGCATTCCGAACTCGATATGGTCATTATGAGTTTGTGGTAATACCGTTTGGATTGACTGATGCGCCTGCAGTTTTCATGAAGTTGATGAATGATATTTTTCGGGAGCACTTGGATAAGTGTGTGATTGTCTTTATTGATGATATCCTGGTCTATTCAAGGTCGGAGAGGGAACATGAATGGCATTTGGGAATGATTGTGCAGAAGTTAAGGGATCAGCAGCTTTTTGCGAAGCTAAGCAAGTGTAGCTTCTGGCAGAGGAAGATGGGATTCCTTGGGCATATTGTCTCCGAAGAGGGAGTAGCAGTGGATCCTGAGAAGATCATTGCAGTGACAGAGTGGCCTGTACCTAAAAGTGTTACTGAGGTCCGTAGCTTTTTGGGTCTAGCTGGGTATTATCGCAAGATTGTGCCTAATTTCTCCCGTATTTTCAAACCTCTCACCAGCTTGACGGAGAAGAATGTTAAGTTTGAGTGGACGGATAAGAGATCTCAGAGATTTGAGGAGTTGAAGCAGAAACTCATAGAGACCCCGATATTGGTACTTCCATGGTCAGGAATACCATATGATGTATACACCGATGCCTCTGGATCCAGGCTAGGATGTGTGCTGATGCAGGAGAAGAAGGTCGTAGCTTATGCATCTAGACAGCTTCGGAAGCATGAAGTGAATTATCCGACTCATGATTTGGAGTTAGCAGTAGTAGTCTTTGCTCTGAAGATTTGGCGTTCTTACCTGTATGGGGAGAAGGTGCACATATATACTGATCATCAGAGTTTGAAGCATGTGTTCACTCAGGATGATTTGAACCTAAGGCAGAGGAGGTGGATAGAATTATTGGCTGATTATGATTTGGAAATTTTCTTATCATCCGGGAAAAGCCAACCAAGTGGCAGATGCCTTGAGTAGAAGGAGAAATGCGGTTTCTGAGGCTAAGGAAACGCAGGAGCTGATAGCGACTTTGGCGAATTTGAGTTTGTGTGTCGCTGAAGTAGAGGATGATGCCGCAGGATTGGAAGCGTTGGATAATGGTGACCTGCTGATGAGGATTCGTCGGGAGCAAGCGCATGATTTGTCCCTTAAGAAGATTTTTGAAAAGCAAGTGGTTGGGTACCACAAAGCAGACAATGGGACTTACATGTACAGGAATCGGGTCTGTGTTCCCATGAATGATGAGCTAAGGAGGGAAGTGTTAAGTCAGGCTCATCAGTCGAAGTTCTCTATTCATCCAGGGAACACCAAGATGTATCAGGATCTGAAACGCTACTACCATTGGTCTGGTATGAAGCGTGATATTTCTGCTTGGATATCTCAGTGTGCCACATGTCAGCAAGTGAAAGCAGAGCAGATGGCACCAAGTGGACTTCTCCAGAACTTGCCATTACCAGAATGGAAATGGGATATGGTAACTATAGATTTTGTGACGGGGTTGCCCAGGACACTAGATAAGAAGAATGCGATTTGGGTAATCGTAGACCGTCTTACTAAGTCAGCTCACTTTTTGCCAATTAAAAAGACGGATGGAGCAGAGCAGTTGGCGCAGAAGTATATTGATGTTATTGTGAGGTTGCATGGAATTCCAGTGAGCATAGTGTCGGATCGGGATCCAAAGTTCACAGCTAGTTTCTGGCAAGCTTTCCAGAAAGCATTGGGAACAAAGGTTCATCTCAGCACAGCATACCACCCTCAGACAGATGGCCAATCGGAGAGGACGATTAGGACCCTAGAGGATCTGTTAAGAGCGTGTGTCTTAGATTGGGAAGGAAGTTGGGAGAAGCATTTGCCTTTGGCGGAATTTGCTTGTAATAACAGTTATCATAGTAGCATTGGGATGGCACCATATAAGGCTCTATATGGTCGGCCTTGTCGCACACCTCTGTGCTGGACAGAAGTAGAAGAAATGAGAGTGCTAGAGCCAGAACTTCTTGAGGAGGCGTCTAAGCAAGTGGAAATGCTTAAGACAAGGTTGAAAGAAGCTCATGATCGCCAGAAGAGCTATGCAGATCAGCGAAGGCAGGAGTTGTCTTTTGAAGTTGGTGATTTGGTGTATCTGAAGTTGAGGACCTTCAGAGGGAATGATAAGCATCGGCTGATGAAGAAGCTTAAGCTTCGGTACATGGGACCGTACCCTATCCTGGAGAGGATTGGAGAAGTGGCTTATCGATTGGAGTTGCCCAAAGAATTAGCTGAGTTCCATGATGTGTTTCATATCTCTCTTCTGAGGAAAGTTGTGAGGGAGCCAGAGCTCATTTTGCCCCAGCCGCCAGCAGATGTAAGGAAGGACTTCTCAGCAGCATATCAGCCTGTGGCAGTGTTGGAATTTCGGGAGAAGGAGTTGAATGGTAAGAGGAAGCCAGCAGTTAAGGTGTGTTGGGAAAGGGATGGAATCCGCGAGGAAACCTGGGAAATAGAGCAGGAAATGCGGAAGGAATTCCCGAAACTCTTTAAGGACAAAGGAGAAACCGGAGGAGTATGAGAGAATTCGGGGACGAATTCTATGGAAGCAGGGGAGAGTTGTAACATCCCAAACCTAGCCCAATTAGAGCAGGCCCAGCAAAAACCAGGTCCACTCCAGAAACCCTAATATAAATAGGGAATTATGAGTTAATGAGCCTCATTCGGCCTCTAATTACCCTAGCCCCCAAAGAAAAGAAAGTGAGAGAGAGAAGGAGAAGCTGCACGCCGCCGCCGCCGAGGAGGGAAGCCGCCGCCACCGCTTGCCGAGAGAAGAAGGAGCACTCGCCTGCCTCCACCTTTTCAGAAGTTGCTTGATTCTTTTGCCTCTTCTAGTTCTCCTTAATCTCAGATCTGCTTTTAGGCCAAAGTGAGGATTAGATCTAGGTCTTTCTTCTTATCCCTTTATCTTCTTCTGGTGTGTTGAGTCTAGATCTGGTGGGACAGGTCTGTCTTCTTGTGCATCTAGGCAGATATATATATATATATATATATAACTAATAAGATCTAGGATCTCATTAGAGGAAGAACCAGCATGATTGATTGATAACCCTGTTGATTGGTTAGTGATTGGTAGAAGTCCTAAAGGTCATATTCTGTTTCTGGTATAGTGATGTGCCGAATGCAGGCTTGTTTGCTGGGTTATGTGCCGTCTGTGTGACCGTGGCAATAATCCATTCATCCGGTGGAGTGATGACCCACGGGGCTGTCCATGTGGCATGTCGGGATTGGACTGTCTGTGTGACAGGGTCTCTGTCTGTGTGACAGGGCGTCTGTCTGTGTGACAGGGTGAGATGTCGACCTGTGTCCGAGTGACAAGGTGGTTTGGCCTATTGAGAGATGGGATCGGAGACATCACTGCTTGTTAGTTGCTTGTGCACTTGTAGAGTGCTTGTTTGGTTTCATTAGATTTATTCTTAATATGTTGGTGGAAATAAATGAATAAGGCGGGAGCCTGGTTTGGTTATCACTGAGTAATTCTCCCAAATTACTCACCCCTCTCTCTCTCTAAATTCCGATATGCAGGTGATTGTGATTGTGAGTGTGATTGTGATGATGTCTGGGAAGAACTAGATGAGTAATTCTAGTGTGGTGTGCCTTCAGAAATGGAGGAAGTTTTATTGTTTTTAAGAACTATTTCACCTTTTTCCTTAAGACAATGTTTCTATTTATTTTGGATTTAATAAGTTATTTCATTTCTATTGTAAGACTTGGATTTGTGTTGGATTTGAATAAAGAACAACAAGTTATTTGGAGTTGGTTTAGTTTAGGTTAGTTAATATCCTGGTTTATTCTGGTTTTCTCCGGAACCAGGAATCGGGGTGTTACAAGTTTCTTGCTCAAGACAAAAGCAAGAAGAATTGAAAAAACTCAAAGATGTGAACACATCATCGACGAACCAGTAACACCAGAAATAATGTATGCTGATATTGAAGAATTTTTTCTTATCCTTGGAAAATAAGTATTCAATACTTACCATTCCACTTAACAAGAAAACTTATATATCTAAGGAGTTGGTGCTACTAAGCACCTAAGAAGCATCGATAATCAGGTCTAAACTAAAATTCATATAAAATCTATGCACAGGGCATTACGTCTATGAGCTTCTAGACAACCATCACATTCTGGAATGGTTTGAGAGGCAAAAAAACTAAGATAGGTTTCCTAATTGTTAACTATTTGGACGTCAAGTGAAACAACCAGTTCGATTCAACCTTTTAAAAAACAATGTGATTTTCAAGGGAGAAATATGTTGTGTCATGAGAATACATATTTTTCATGCAACAATGTACGAGAAGAAAATTATCAAATAGTTCAAGGAGCTATTTTGATACCTAATTGAATAGCAATGAGTTTATGAAAATAGATACAAACTTTTCAATTATCTTCAGATCCAACAAAGGATCATGTCATGAAGACTTGAGAAGTTCAATATATAACAGTAATGAATTTGGATCTAGGAAATGTAATTGCAACTCGAGGAATATGAAATACATCCATCATCATAGATGAGATTGATGATGATGATGGCATTATTAATGTTTCTATTCAGAAAAATTCTACAAGCAGTGACAAATGCATCAGTTTTATCAATCAATCAAAGACGCTGGTGTTTGATGCAAACTTTAATGCTTTCAGATACAATGTTTATGGTGGAAGTCAAGGTCAACATATGGTCATCCATCAACAATTAGAATTAAAAGAATAGATCAACATGAAAAATAGGGTTACTAAGAACAAACTAAGTACTCTCAGTCTGAATGGTTGACCCGTAAAAAAAAAAGCCAAAGGAAAGCTTTGATTGGGATAGTTTAAGATGGCAAGCAGAAAGTAGTTTCCAAAAGAGAAGGAGACCAAAAACAACAATGAACATGGTTGATTGGGGTTAATTACAGTGTACAAATGTAAACAAGATCGTTGATATAATAAGAAGGCGTGTATCAAGCTTGCCCATAAAATCAAGACATTCTTAAACAAATTAGTTCATGACCACAAAGAGATTGATTTAGAATGGCTATAGATGTTCTGCCAAATAAAGCAAGGAATATCTAGTGAGCATATATAGATTATGATTGAAAAGTATGAAGTGTGTTAGATTTTGTCATTGTATCAGATTGCATTTCCTGTTGACACCAATGTCGGACAAATAACTGTAAGACTCGGATGAGTTACTTCACCAACATTATCCAGTGACCTGTAAATGCATCTTCTAGAGTTGTACCCAGTTTTGGAATATGTTCAAAAATACTTCTGCCCACGTCTCTATAAACTTAACTAAAAAACTTTATACGAGTTGCACTACGATATGGTTGAAAAGTATTTTGCAAAAAAAATCAAAACTAAATTGCAAAACATGTCCAATGAAAGTGGAGTGTCGTTATCATACTAGTCCACGTGAAAGTGCAATATATGCTCTACCAAAATCAGAAGAGAGAGGGACTGTAATGATCCATCATAGGAGATCTAACCCCAATTTTGTTGTGGTCAATTTCCGCCAGTATTGATTTTTTACTCAAGAAAAAAAGCAAAAACAATTGAAATGATTTCAAGAATGTGAACCTATAATCGATGAACCAGTAATTTAATTTCTACCATCACACTTCACAAGATAAAATTATATATATGAGTTTGTGCATCAATAATCTGATTTAAGCTAAAATTAATAGAAAATCTGCGCAATGAGCCTAATGTCTATGAGCTCTCAGAAAACCATCATATTTGGAAGGGTTTGAGAAGCAAGATCTCTAAGATAGGTTCCTTACTTGTTAACTATTTGGACGTTAGGTGAAACAGTCAATTCGATTCAATCTATTAAAAAAAGATGTGTTTTCCCAAGAAATCAATATAATGTGGCATGAAAAGATACAATTTTCATGCAACAACAACAATATACATGAATAAAATTGTTAAATAGTTTGAGGATCTATTTTAATACCTTTTAAAATAGCAATGAGAGGAAGCTTCCCTTGTACTTCAAACTATTGAGGTTTTTCCTAACCATGGCTCTCATATAAACCCGATCGAAATCCCAAAGATTTGATAGGGAGCCTACCAAGAGGAATCATGTACTTTGGATCCTTTGTAAGTGTGTGTTTTAAAATTTTATCAGTAGAAGAGATTCTATACAGTTTTTGGACAGGACATATCTGTGTGAAACGATTTGATCAGAGAAATAGAGAACCAAGATTTTTAGTTAAAAGCCTGCATTACCCACCCAGCAACAAGAGGCATAAGGACTATGAATGAAACCATCAAGATTTGCATTAACATACTACATTTTTTGGGGTTTATTGAGCTTGCATTAAATTTAAGCAACTCTTTTTGGAAAAGTTACAACAATGATATATATATATATATATATATATATATATATATATATATATATATGTAATATCACCAAGAACTCAGACATGTTAGGTTAGCAGACTAATCCTTTTTGGTTAATCGCCTGGTTTGGTCCCTTGGTGAACACACAAGATTACAAAAAAAAAAGCGCCTAACTCACATAACATAATATAAGTCTTAGCCAATCTACACTAACCTGAAAGGACAAAGGAAAGATGAAGGGTGAGTAATAGAGATTATTCAGTGAGGATGAGCTTTAGGAAGACTCACAATTCACTTTGAGACAATTACACGAGTTAACTATTATAAAAGTCTAAGGAAAAAAAAAAACTATTATAAAAGTCTAATCCTAAAACAAACATAAACAAATGTGATCTACACAAAACAATTTACTTTGATCCCTAATTTATTTCCACCACATCTGTTCCACAACCGTAACAAGTATTAGTGCTTTTTGTATGATCTACGTTCCAAAAAAACTTCATCTCACCACTTATGACACTCGACTCCGTCTTCTAGACGAATCGGTCTGCCATCATACTTTGGTCACACAAACATTCTTGAGATTCGCCATATCTTCATGGCATTGAGAACTGAAGACCCCTACAGGTGGCATCCCTCAACCTCAACAAACAATATCCACACCACAATAATTGCTTCTGATGGACACCTAACATTTCTAAAACATCACTCCACATTATTCAGGTTTACAACCTCATCATTCTCATCACTCTAGATTCAAGATTCACAAAGACTCAGATACCAAGTTGTAACAATAGGATGATAAGCAAACAGGTTCACAATCAATTCTTTGTTTTAAAGTTTCACACATCACGGGTCTATATTCCAAAAACATGTGAATCAAGCACCGATCAACATAATTCATAAACCCTTGTACCAGATCTATAATAACCTAACAACACATATAGATATATCGATGGTGGTATATATAATATATTCAGATTTTCAATCAACACAGAACTCTTAGCAAATCAAATAGTTTGCTTAGAGGAAAAACTTTAGTTTAAGAAAAGACTAGTCAAAACAATTAAAACACGTTTTGTAAGAAAGTGAGAGGGGCAGCAAGTCCTTCTCTTTCATTTCAGTCATGATAATTAGTAGTTGATATTTTTAACATCAGTTATGGTTTAATTATTAATATAACTACTAGATTTT